GATGTCTGCTGGTATCGCTGATCTAATGGTTCAATAGCAGCAGTTCTAACTGTACAGTGACTTTATTAGCTGCGTGTATGTTCCTGGCCTGTGGCTTGGTGAACTGCAGCCACAAAATCTGCATGACAGCCAGGCAACTAGCACATTCATAGAGAGACGACCTTTCCTTTAAAAGCTGCTATTTCCAGGGCCATAGGGAACTCTGATGACATGTACGGTCAATAGACACAAAGGTCCTCTAGCATAGCTGGTAACAGTATATAACTGCCTTTCTCAAGCAGGGTTGCCCCAGAGGTTGCTGGGAGTTCCTTCAGCAATTTCTCTCAAGTGACCACTGACAATCAATGTAAGAAGGATTCTACCTACTGACCAACAGTGTCATGGGGCTGTTTTGCTAAAGATCGTGTGTGTGTATAATGAGGCCCTTCTGCTGGGGATCACCTGTGTAACTGGGCCCGTCTCCCACTGACCACCAATCTATGGGGGCCCTTCTCCCACTGACCCTTAATCTACAGGGGCCTTTCTCCCACCGATTCCCAATCTCTTCTCCCACTGACCCCCAACCTACAGGGGGTCTCTTCTCCAACTGACCCCCAACCTACGGGGGGTTCCTCTTCTCCCACTGACCCCCAACCTACGAGGGCCCTTCTCCCACTGATTCCCAATCTATGGGGGTCCTTCCACTAACCTTCAACCTATGCGGGTCCTTCCACTGATCCCCAACCTACGAGGGCCCTTCTCCCACTGACCCCCAACCTACGAGGGGCCTTCTCCCACTGATTCCCAATCTATGGGCGTCCTGACCCCCAACCTACGGGGGTCCCTCCACTGACCCCCAACCTATGGGGGTCCTTGCACTGACCCCCAATCTACAGCGGTCCTACTCCCAATTGTACCACTGACCCAGATTCCTTATTTCTTTTATTTCTTCTACCTGAATTTTCTGTTCATGAAGGATATAGTAATGATTATCGGGTAATGTTGGGGATTGTTGACAGTAATGTTGGGGATTGTGCTGTGCTCATAAAGGTGACATACTGTTATGTATGGTTAGTGTGGCTTGGCCAGCCTAGGTGAGTTCATCGCACACAATACTTTTAAGTGAAGTGAATGTCAGCAGATAAGGTGGAGGTCAGCTGTCATGAACTAAGATAGAGTCCAGGCCTGTAGCTCAGTGTACACGCAGGGCGGTTGTGGAGTCTAGGCCTGGAGCTCAGTGTACACACGATAGAATCCATGCTCAGGGTACACACCGGCCCCCTCCTCTGAGCGCACCCCTCACTGGCTGGTCATGTGACTCCTCTGAGCCGCTTTATTCCCCGGCTGGGTTGGCTGCGCTCCAAGTCACTCCCCGCAGTCGGCTGGAGCCAGAGACGCTTATTTGCTGTGTTCCGGAGGCCGGGCTCTCATTCATTAGACAGCCGTCTAGTTTCCCTGGAAACACAAGCTGCCTGGGTAAAGCCGCTCCGTACGCCCGGCCATGGAGAGAGCCGCGCCATGGACGGAGCCGGAGGTCAGAGCTCTGATCAGTATCTGGTCAGAGGAGAGCATCAAGCGGCAGCTGCAGGGCACCCTGAGGAATAAGGGGCTCTTCATGTACATCGCCCTCCGCATGAGGCAGCTGGGCATCTTCCGGGACTGGAAGCAGTGCCGCTCCAAGTACAAGAACCTGAAGTACGAGTACAGAGCGCTGCGGAGTAGTACCCGGGAGCCCGTCCATAAGATCCCCTTCTACGATGAGCTGCACGCCATACTAGGCGCTGAGGGCGCACCGCAGGGGGGCAGCGAGGCCGGCCCGGAGGAGGACACCTGCCCGGAGCAGGCTGCAGAGCCAGGTAACGGGGCACTCAAGCGGCTGTGTCTCCGAGCAGCATAAACAGCTCGGGCTGGAGCCACTTCATTCACTGCTACGAGGACATCTAGTGGCTGCTGGAGGGAACTGCAGCCAGACATATCTCATCATTCATCACTCTGTTCATGCATGTCACTGGGCTTATCAGGGCTCTTAAAGGTGTATTCCACTTGGTGAATAGAAAATAAAAAGAATGGATGTACTCCTATTGCAGAAAGCAAACCTGAGCATTAATTCATTGTTTGCATTGGAGCAACCGCGATCAGTGAATCGTGGATGCCCCTTCCACCGTATGGGTGTAACGGTATGATAGGTAGAGTTGGCGTTTAAGATCTGGATAGAGTAGGGAAGGGTTCAAGTTTATATTCATACCTGGTAAACCCTGAGAAGGCGGGGGAGGGGGGTCTAATCACACCTTTCTAAATGGAGGGTGTGACCACAGTGTTCTTAAATGTGTGAGGGGCTTAAAGTATCGGTCCAGGGTCTACAGTAAAATATTAAAAAAAAAGTACAGTACTGTTTTATAGGCTTCAACAGACCTCCCCTACTAAAGAGAACATGTACATAGGAGCCAAAAATAAAGCATAGGAAAAAAACAAACAAGAACTGTGTTCTGTGTAGATCACACCTGTCATAACACTGTTATTTGCATAGATTATCAGCTGACTGTCAGCGCTCATTGGAGGGACAAACAGGGGAGGGGGCAGGCACACCTGGTTCTGGCTCTAGGGAGGCAGAGCCAGCTGTCAATCAGGCAGCAGGGAGGATCCCGACAATATTGTCAGGATCTTTACCGGCTGCAGAATATGTCTGCGCAGTCAGTATGTAGCCGAGAACATAAGTAAATATACTCCTGTGACCCAAAAGAGAAGTAAAACAAAAATAAAATGGTCTGGCTTTGGTTCTCTTTTAAGTAGGGCTGCGGAAATTAACGATTAATTACCCGATTAATCGTTAAAAATGTTGATTTGATTAAAATTATTTTGATCAATAATGAAAACACTCAACTCTCCGCCGGCTTCCGGGAGTTCCGCCGGAGATCCAGTGACGTCACGGACATCAATGTCACCGGACTCCTTCCCCAAGTGGCTCCGTCGGCTATCGTAGGGAAGGGGGGGGGAGGAGTCCGGTGACTTTGATGTCCGTGACGTCACCGGACTCCTCCCCCCCCCTTCCCTACGATAGCCGACGGAGCCACTTGGGCTGGTGATCTGTCGACACTTATCGAGTTCTGCGACCGCCTAACTTCCGGTTTCGTTACAACTAAGAAGTTTGCCCGACCGGAAGTGCTGGCGCTCTGCACGAGCGCCAGCCAAGGCATTGGCCTATACACATACAGCACAGCAATGAAGTAATAAAATGAACTAGGATCACGCTAATCCAGCACGTTATTATTCTGAGTTGCCCCACTCAAGCGGCGGCCATATTGAGTGGTGCACGTGAGATTAATAACGTGTTGGATTAGTGTGATCCTAGTTCATTTTATTACTTCATTGCTGTGCTGTATGTGTATAGGCCAATGTAGTTGGATCTGTATGTGCGTTATAATGAATCAAAATTAATCGATTAAAAAAAAATTTGATTAATCGAACACGAACATTTTAATCAGTAACAGCCCTACTTTAAGCTCTTGCAATGATTATTGTGAAGGGGGGAGGGGGCAGGATTTCATATTTATTAAAAAAGAAAAGTAAGTAGAATGTTTTTCCTGAATTCTGCAAAGTTAATTTTAGCTTCCAGAGTCCGTAAAATACATTCCACTTACTATTCTTTAGTAATAATATAGTGCTGCCCCCCTTCTTAACAATAGTCATTGCATAAACCAAATCTATACAACCTAAAGGTCTGGTACAGCAGCTGAGGAATCCTAACTGACGTAGCAATCTTTGCTTAGTGGCTTCATATTTGGAACACTCGCCCTATAGCATGTGTTGTCCATTGGTCCATTCATGTCGGATATTACACACAGTGGGGGGATTTATCAAAACTGGAGCAGACAGAATCTGGAGCTGTTGCCCATGGCAACCAATCAGCATCTCTCTTCAGTTTGCTCAGGTAAGATTTGAAAATGAGACATATAAGCTGCTTGGTTGCAGTGCAAATCTGCTCCAGATTTTGTCTGCTCCAGTTTTGATAAATTCCCCCCACAGTGCTCCTCTTCCAGCACTGTGACTGACCATTCCAGCTCTTGTACAGTACTGGGATTGTGCCATTTCCTCTCCCCTCATTCAGTCACAGAACTCCTTGTAGTCTATTAACAGAATTGAGGGGGAGAGCCCCTGTACTGTATGAGACCAATTATGGGGCCGGTGCAGTGCCGGATTTGGTATACTCTTTATTAGACGTTCCTTATTTCAGTTGTGCTTTTTACAAGGAAAAACAAGTGAATGGAGTATTGCTTTATGCCGCTACACAAAGTGTCTGCCTGAGCGTAGGTGGTAGGGTCTGGGCAAAGGGGCCCCGATGGTGTACTGTTTCCATGGCAGGCTGTTTGTTTACTTTGCAGTGGCTACTGATAGCAGGAGTGTGGAAGGCCCAAGATGGTGGCGGTGGCTCTGACGGTAAGAGGGGACAGGTGTGGACCCTGGTGATGAACTGCAGTAGGAGAGAGTACACCTCACATCTTCTCCTGGCTCACTCCTTCCCAGCACTGGCTTCTAGTTGATAGACGAAGGGACGCTGCTGTTCCCTGACAGGCCTGCTGTCCCAGGGAGTTTAATAGATTCAGCAATGCTGACCAAATTCTGACATTGCCTGGTCATTTCCAGCACGTTCCCAGCTCTGCTTATATTTTGCCTTCTTTGGCTCCTCCTTTCCTCGTTATCAACATGCTAATTAAATTGTTCAATAAAATATTACCCTTTTTATTGCATACCTTATTTTACACATGTTATCACTGGGGCTCTGTGCAATGCAGGCATGGCTGCTGGGAGGGGATGGCAAAGTGCTGTACAAAGCTTCCTGATAACATCACAGCATGTGTTTAAAAGCCCGTACTGCCACCGACAACAGCCTTACATCAGCCTTACCTCAGTGGCAGTGAAAAGGTTAAAGGCATAGTCCACCTTTTGCAAAAAATTAATAAAAGAAAAAAAATGTGCATTTAGTAATTTTGTTGTGTTGAAGCCTGCGCAGCATTGCAACCCCCGATCAGTGGCCTATTCCTCCAGTTCCTGTCCATACCAAGGTACAGACTTTCAGTTACAGGACGGGAAGAAGTGTCAAGGAACCAAACGTAGAGGCGCACCGAAATGAAATTTTGAGACCAAAACCGAAAATAAAAAATAGTAAAGCCAAAACTTATTTAAAAAAAAAATATTTTATTTTAATTTTTTTTATACTTTTTTTTAAATATTTTAATTTTTAACTTTACTGCTGGGGGCTCTGGGGAAATATCGGGGGTCTAAACAGACCCCTGATATTTCCTTTTTAGAATAGAAAAAGAGATTAAGAACTCTGTGTCCTCAATCTCTTTTTCTGCACCCCCAGCGCAGAATGAACAGGAATCCTCTATACTGAGTGTTCCTGTTCATTCATAAATTGTGGACATAGTATGAGTTACTATGTCCACAATCATGAATGAACAGGAAGTGATATAGATCACTTCCCATTCATTCCTAACTGGTACATAGTAACTCATACTATGTCCATTTATTTACAACATTCAGCGATTACTGATCACTGAATGTTTGTAGTCGGCTCTCCATCCTGGATCAGCTGTCACAGGAGGCTGAGCAGGCAGTACGGGGAGGAGAGCTTGGTCTCATTTGACAGCTGACTCCTCCCCCTCACCACCGACTCTACCTCCTGTGTCTGCTCCTAGATTGCTCTCTTGATTTGTTACGGGAAGCTGATCAGGGCGGCTCAGTAGGAAAGCTCAGCCTCCTGTGACAGCGCTCACATCGCTCTCCTCCCGCTCGGCTCCTGACCGTTTCTCTCCTCCCTACTGGACGCTGCACTGTCAGAGGCGACACAGAGCAGCGCCCAGCCGGGAGGAGAGAAACTAAGGATACACCACAATTTCGGCCGAAAGTTGCCATTTTCGGGCGGAATGTTTTGGCGGCCAAAATTTCGGTGCATCTCTAACTAAAAGTGTGGTGATGTCACTGCACTTGTACTCCATTTGGAACGGCAAGTCCCTCTGCCGCAGCTGCAGACAGGACTTGTGGTCTCTTCATTCACAGATCCTATGAAAGGATTTGTGAATGGATGCGTGCTCGTGGAGCCATGAACAGGCATGCCAATGTCAAAATATGCCTGGCGGCTGTGGGATTCAGGTAAGGGGGGATGTTTCATGTTACATATTGATGATGAGTGTAGCATGAAACCTGATCAGATAGATTGGTTTACCCTTTAATTTCGTCTTACTTAGTATTGAATAATCAGGCCTCTGAACAATACTTCATATAGCCGCTGCAGTTCTACATTTTTGTACCTATTTCAGGTGAGTTCCGGACAATAAAGACAGATGCCAGGCTATATCTGTTCATCTCCATAGAGGTCTATAGGAGATCAGATGGAAATTTCCTGTATGCCTGCTCTGTAATGGTGCCACTCTGGCATTGTGTTTCATCCCTAGCAGGTCAAAGCATGAGCGAACCTTTATTACATATGGTGTCTGTCCATGTATGTTCAATGTAATAAGTCTGATTTATTAATAGCTATTGATTGAATAGCTGTGTACTCTAAGACTGGAACACACTTATGGAAACTCCTGCCAAAATGAACTGCTCAATTATGAACAAGCCATCGGAGCAAAATTGGTGAATCAAAACTTGGCTCAAGCCTGTCCCCAGATAGCCAGGTATTCCCCAGTAGGATGTAGCCATCTTCTCCTTACACAGTATAGAGAAGGTGAAGCCAGACTGTAAGTCACAATTCATAGGTCAAAGACATCTTAATCCTTCCTGTCTGTGTCAGCATCTAGAACAGAGGGGTCAAACTCAATTTAATTGCGGGCCGCTTCAGCATTATGGTTGCCCT